ACATATTTTTGTCACTATTTTAAAAACTATTAAAAAATTTAAATTCTAAGTCGATTATCTTGACAAAATAATGCATTCTGTCACGTTGTTTATAACAATCTCATAATATTATTGTCAATGTACATGTATGATCTTTCTATTGACCTTTTGATAAGGTTGACGTTGTCGTCGTCTTCACCATGTCAATTAATTGACAAGAAAAACTTCATTCTTTTCTTTCACAAGAAAAAAAACTTTACAAGAAATTCTGTAGTGGAATTTTCTTACTCGAGATAAATTTATTATTTATATATATTGTGTGCTGTGCCATAATATGAATAATAATAATAACAATTAAGATAATGTTTATTATTTAGTTTGTTGTTACTATTATTAGATTTATGGATTTGTTTACGGTTTTGACAGATTTTGTTATCGCATTTTGTTCGAAGGGGGAATTGATTGAATTTAGTAAATAATTCTCGACAGGCATCACCGTGGCCTAGTGGTTAGAGCTTTGGAATTTAATAATGATAAAAAAAAATCTCACCTTTTGCACAACCTCTGGATTAACACGTATAAGACCAAAACTGGCCAAATCCGTTTTACCGATTGTTAATTACAAGCTCTATTTTTATATATAAAAACATATATGTCTATATATGTGTATATACTAGCTGACCCGGCAGACGTTGTTTTGCTAAGTAAGGTATATTCTAATAAACAATTTCTAGGTATTCAAAAATATTAATACTTTAAGTTCATATGGGTTTGTTGTTTGAATGTTATATACAATGAGGTATTATATAAACAATAAACCACATTAGATTGTCTATTATTTGTCTGAAAGTTTTATACACTTTCTATATGGTATAATCCAATCCAAGTCCTTTTTTTTGGTTTTTCGACTTATTGATTACGTTTCAAATCTTACAGATTCTTTTTGGATTTTGGATTTTGTGTATAATTGTAAATAATACTACTGAGCTTATACAAAATTTTCAAATTTCTGCGAGGAGAGATAGAAAATAAATTAGGTATTTCCTCTTTGACCTGCTTTTTGAAAAGTTTCAACTAACATTCGATGAATTAAAGTAAATTTAATAAAAATTAAAGGGTCCGCCATCTAACTTTTGCAGCCATTTTAATCTTTAGCATCCATTTTGATTTTTTGGCATCCATTTTGATTTTTTGGCAGCCATTTAAAAGTTAGGCTGCCATTTGCATTTCTCTTACAAACCAAAACTATTATTTCAAATTGAAAAAAATCAGTACTTTTTTTTATACAATTTTCAAAAAAAAAGTTATTTGGCGGACCCTATATATATATATGCAGAGCAGAGCGAGGCACAAAGGTCCAATTTGATTTTGAGCAAACATTATGTTCTAAAAATCAATCCAATAATATCACAACAAATAATACATTTCAAACGAACAAATCTGACTACGTTCAGTTAAAACGGTAATAATCGTTAAAACGGATTTGGCCAGAGGTCGTGGGTGAGATTTTTTTTTATTATTATTATTAAATTCCAAAGCTACTTCATCATTGTAGAAATGTGTTTTTTTTTAATGTCTTTCAAAAATTTGTCATAAGCGCAATACTTGACGTGGATGCTATAGCATTCACGATTTGAATATGATAATGTGACTACGGAAACTTTTAAAAGGCGTCAACTTTTTCCTTTTTCCATAGTTGCATAAAATAAAAGCGCAATATTTGTCGTGGATGCTATAGCATTCATTTAGTATACGACGATTGAAATATGATATTCTGACTACTAAAACTTTTATTGGAAGCAAACGTGTTAACGTGCAAGATTACTCTTCAGTTAAAACCGAATCTTTTTTCTTAGTCTCTAACTTAACGTGGATGCTATAGCATTCATCTAGTATATAACGATCAAAATACGATAATACGATTACTCAAACTTTTATTGGGCGCGAACGTGTTAAGGTGCAAGATTATTTTTCAGTTGAAACCGCATTATTTTCTATAGTCAATAATTTGACGTAGATGCTATAGCATTCATCTAGTAAAACCATTAAAATATGAATTATGATTTAGACCTTTTTACCATATAGACGGAGTCTATAATAACTTGGAATGGCCAGGTGGCAAACAGGTTTAATGTCTTATTTTAATTTTAAGAAATTTTACAAAATAATTACATTTTCAACTTATGCTAAAAAACTACCAACGCAAAAAATACTTTTATTATGGATTTTCAAAGATTACCGTTTATCTCCCGATATCAAAGTCATGAGAATCAAGGTTATAGCCGGTTATACATGCTTTTCCCTCTACTTTCAAATATTGTTGGACCCTTTCAACCCCGGACAATCATATATTACTATCTATTTTTCGATAAATTCTGGGAAATTATAACTGGGAAAATGTTATTCGACAAAATGTCCCTTTGATCGATACCAAATTTAGGTTCTGAATTAAAATAACATAAGTAAAAAATAATATAACCTAGAAAATGTTTTATAAATACAAATGAGTATATAATTATACAAATGAGATCTTGCAGAGCACCGTGTTTGAGAAAAATATGATTTTCAAAAAAGAGTGCTACAACGCCAAAAAGTGCATTTTCATATTAACATTTCAAAAAAAGTTTGAAAAATAAGATTTGACATTTGACGTATTAGCCACCGTCCATTGTTTTATACAAATTACGCTTCTACAAAAAATTTCAAAATAAAAATGTAAAGTTTCTACGCGATTTATAAATAATATCCGACAACCGACTGATTAGCACGAATTTTCCAAGACTAAGACTGGCCAAATCGGTTTAGTCGTTTTCGAGTTTTAGCGGATCATTTTATTGAACTCCATTTTTATATACAAGAAGATATATATGTATATATATATATATATATATATATATATATAACGTATATAATTATAATAATCGGTCAATGATGTCTGTTTCGACGTCGTCGCCGATAAGAATTAAGGATGGATAAATGTTTTTCATATAGTATATATAAATTTATTATGATAATAGTTGCTATGTCATAATTTGCAGCATAAATTGCATATCATCTCAATAATAAATTATCGCACACTACGACAATTGTATTTGTTTGTTTCTAAATTTATATTTATATATACAATATAAATACATATTGTTTATCGCGAGTTGTGACAATTTCGATTCGGACAAATTGATACAAGAGTTCATTGTAAACAATCATTTTAGATAAAGGAAAAGATTTTAAGAATAAACTAGTAGTGTATGGCATCGTGCGTTAAGGAATTGCTGGAACTTCCCGTACCGTAATGAAATATTCGAGAAATTTTAAACGTTTTCAAATATATTATTACAAATACTGTAACTTTCATTATCTTATTGTTATATCTGAGTAAATCAAATGTAAATCATAAATCAATTCATCTCCAGAACATTATCAATCGTCATTTTATTTCGAATTCAATTTCAAAAAAATAGTTTCCCAAAATTGCACAAAAGTGAAAAAGTGCTCCCGTATAGTCACAGTCTAAACGCATTTGCAAATAATTCTGTGCGACTTTTTCACTTATACTGTGCTTAGCTAGGCGGCATTTTCACATTTTTCAAAAGTTTTCACAAAATTGGAAAAGTGCACCAGTACATAAACAGTCTAAACGCACTTGGGTAAACATTTGTACCAGAATACTAGACTGTGTCTAGCATGGGCAATTTTTTGAATTTTTAATCAAAATTTACAAAAATATTTTATGGAAAATAAAAAAAGATGTTAGAATTTTTTATCTTCAAAAGCAGTTGTTTTGCCAATACAAGAAGAAAGTTTTTTTAGATCATTCAAATCCGACATTTAGTTCACTCAAAAATTGCCATTTTTTGCACAATTAGCTCTGTATCTTCGAAATGGCGGGACCTGCCTGTGCCAAAAACTAATCACCTTTTCTCCCAATCATTACAAATTGAATGTTTTTTAGATCATTCAAATCCGATACTCCGTTTAAATTATATAACGTTTTATAACTCAATGTAAAAAAAGTGAAATTTAAAGTTTAGTATCTAATTATTAGCCATTGTTAGATTTTATCGGTTACATTTTTTTATAGCTATAATAATAATAGTAAAATTTATTACACATGTATATTATTATATATCATATGTTTATAACATTTAAAAACTTTGCGAACAAAATTAAATAAGAAAAATGTTTAAAGTTAAAATTTCAGTATCTAGTTATTAGCCATTGTAATATTTCATTGGTTACATTTATTTTTAGTTATAATAAAATAAATACATACAAATATATTAATAGTGAATTTATACCAAATTAGATACTTTACAAATTTTTCTGATAAAAGAATCCGGAATAGTCTAAATTCGCCTAATTTTATCCATCCGAAGCGCATTTATTTATTACATATTGAATAACTTTTAAAATATTTGTTAAAAATAAATGATGTATTAAAAAAAATTTGTATAAAATTAAATTCTAAATAATATTGTCTAACATAGTAAGACCCTATAGCATCTCAGTATACTTCAAAAACCCTAGCAAAACTACGAATTGCATTTGATAGAATGTAAATAAATCATAAAGAGTGCGTTTATTTAGTATTTTTTCAAAAACTAAGATGACCAAAAAAAATTAAGAGATGAAAAACACAAAATTTTAAGTTTGTTTTGTTACCAAAAATTTTTAGATAAATTTACAACATGTGTATCTAATGAGCTCTACAGGACGTAATGTATCCACTGCGAATAAAAAATACGAATGTTTACAATATTTTCCAAAAAATGCTTCATGATTATTTAACTTTGTAAATTGTATTTGTTATTGTTAAGAATCCGTTGATTTATATTTGTTTGTTCTGTTACTATTTATTATTAATAATAATTGTGACAAGGCTGATGTGGGGTATTATTGCATTCTGCTTAATCAATCAATAATTATCTTTCAACGAAGAAAAAATATAAATAATAAACGCCACTAAGATACAATAACAAAAACAAGACAGACGCGATCACTTACAAATACATCATTTATTATTACTTACAAAATCTAGTTTCGGCAAATTTTCCACCAGTCCCGCTCCCCCGGAACACCAAGTGTTTGTAAAAATTATTTGGAGGTTCCTGGACGTTCCTGGTGTCTCCACAGGAGGTTTCCTGAAACTTTTTGATATCTCCACCGTATGCCTCTTGAGAGGCATAAGTTACGTATAAGAATCCATCTTCGTCCTTGTGCTCCTTGTAGATTTCTCCTAGACTTTTAGACAAACCAGCCTGGGGAAAGGATAAATGATAGTCCCGGTGTAAGATAGAAAATTTAGTTTTTTTTCTTACCATTGTCCTTTCGTTGATCAGTAAATAAAATGCCTGGTTAGGGCCAACTCGCATACGGTCCCTCAAAAGTGTTGCCAGCTGTGAAACGGTGACGTCCTGTAGAACCAAAAATTTACTACGATCGATCAAAGGCAGGTTCTGCTCTTTTGTGTATCTTTCGACGATTATCTGAAAATAGTAAATTAGATGGTAGCAAATAATCGAGAATTCAGATTTTAGCAACGTTACCAATTGTTACAATTTTATATATCAACTAGCTGACCCGGCAAACATTGTTTTTCTAAGTAAGGTATATTCTAAACAATTTCTAGATGTTCAAGAATATTAATACTTTAAGTTCATAAGGTTGTGTTGTTTGAATGCCATATACAATGAGGTATTATAAAAACAATAAACCCCATTAGTTTGTATATATTTTGTCTAAAAGTATTATAGACTTTCTATAGAAAACGTGGTTTAATCCAATCCAAGTCTTTTTTGGTCTTTCGACTTATTGATTACGTTTCAAGTTTTTCAGATTCTTTTTGGATTCTGAATTTTGTGTTTAATTGTAAATAATACAAACTGAGCTTATACAAAATTTTCAAATGTCTGCGAAGAGAGATAGAAAATGAATCAAGTATTTCTTCTTTGAACTGCTTTTTGAAAAGTTTGAAGTAACATTCGATCAATTAAAGTAAATTTAGTAAAAAGTAAAGGGTCCGCCATCTAACTTTTGCAGCCATTTTGAATCTTTAGCATCCATTTTGATTTTTTGGCATCCATTTTGAATTTTTGGCAACCATTCAAAAGTTAGGCTGCCATTTGCATTTCCCTTACAAACCAAAACTATTATTTCAAATTAAAAAAAATCAGTAGTTTTTTTTTATAGAATTTTCAAAAAAAAAAGTTATTTGGCGGACCCTATATATATGTAGAGCAGAGCGAGGCACAAAGGTCCAATTTGACTTTGAGCAAATATTAATATTATAAAAATCAAACCAATTATATCACAACAAATAACACATTTCAAACGAACAATTATCTGACTACGTTCAGTAAAACTGCCAGCTACTTCATCATTGTATAAATGTGCTTTTTTAATGTCTTTCAAAAATTTGTCATAAGCGCAATACTTGACGTGGATGCTATATCATTCACGGTTTAAATATGATAATGTGACTACGGTAACTTTTCAAGGGCGCCAACTTTTTCCTTTTTCCATAGTTGCGTGAAATAGAAGCGCAATATTTGTCGTGGACGCTATAGCATTCATCTAGTATATAACGATCAAAATACGATAATACGACTACTCAAACTTTTATTGGGCGCAAACGTATTAAAATGCAAAATCATTTTTCACTTGAAACTCCATCTTTTTCATAGTCTCTAATTTGACGTGGATGCTATAGCATTCATCTAGTATATAACGAGCAAAATACAATTATCCGATTACTCAAAATTTTATTGGGCGCGAACGTGTTAACGTGCAAGATTATTTTTTCAATTGAAACTGCATCATTTTCCTTAGTCAATAATTTGACGTGGATGCTATAGCATTCATATAGTAAAACCATTAAAATATGGTTTATGATTTAAACCTTTTTACCATATAGACGGAGTAACTTTGAATGGCCAGGCGGCAAACAGGATTAATGTCTTATTTTAATTTTAAAAGTATTTTTCAAAAAAATTACATTTTTAACTAATGAAGAAAATACTTTTATTATGGATTTTCAAAGATTACCGTTTATCTCCCGATAGCAAAGTCATAAGAATCAAGGTTATAGCTAGTTATACTTACTTTTCCCTCTACTTTCAAATATTGTTGGACCTTTTTAGCCCCGGATCTTCATATATTACTATCTATTTTTCGATAAATTCTGGGAAATTATAACTGGGAAAATGTTATTGGACAAAATGTCCATTTGATCGATACCAAATTTAGGTTCTGAATTTAAATAACATAAATAAAAAATAATATAACCTAGAAAATGTTTTATATATACCAATGAGATCTTTCGGAGCACCGTTTTTTTAGCTTTTTTTGTTAGAAACATATGTGATTTTATATTTTTATAATTGAATACATATATTAGGTAATAACATACTAAAATTTTATAGCTCTGGTATAATATTGTATATTTTTAAAACATTTTTTAAAAGTACTTCTCATATCATATCCAACCATCGATTCGCAACTAATGAAAATAGAGTATGCACGTGTGCATTGCAATTTTTTAGTTTCTTCTTTTAGAAACATATTTGATTTTATATTTTTATATTTCAGTACACATATTAAGAAATAACATACTATAATTTCATAACTGTATTACAACGCTTTATATTTTTAAAATATATTTTAAGCCGTCAATTTGTTTACGTCAAAACGTTTACTAACGTTTTTGTGTATAAATATAACTACGAACAAAACTACTTACTACAATTTAATCATAATTAAATAAAATTCACGTAAAACGTTCTATTAAACGTAATTGAATATCATCTGTCAAAAACGTTTTACATTTGACGTATTAGCCACCGTACATTGTTTTATTTAAATTACGCTTCTACAAAAACGTTCAAATTAAAAATGTAAAGTTTCTACGCGATTTTGAAATAATATCTCACCTTTCCGACAACCTACTGATTTAGCACGAATTTTTCAAGACTAAGACTGGCCAAATCGGTTTAGCCGTTTACGAGTTTTACCGGGACATTTGATCGAGAGCTCCATTTTTATATATAAGATAAATTAATTTATTACAATAATTTATTTGTTATAAACAAACGTAACGAATCGTATAAATAAATATTTCATTCATTATTCCATATTTTTTTATCGTTTTCTCATTAAATGTTTTGTTGACAATTTATTATCAAGGATGTCTTTATCTCGGAGCAGACTACTGACTGGACGAATTGTCATTTTTGTGCTAAATATAAATTTAGAAAGATATCGTGGAATATTTTCGCAATTATTATTATTGTTGAAGAGAGGAGAAATTATCGCATTTACATTGTTACATCAGGATAAGACGAGAAATTTTCCATTAATTAATAAAATAGAAGATCAAATCGCTTTATTTTGTTGTTAAATAACTCATAGTTTTTCTTAGAAACTTATAAACTTTAGTATTTTTAATATTTAGTATACATATTAAAGAATGTTATATCCAAATTTGAAAGCTGTAATACAAACGGTACGTCCTGAAGAGCTCATTGATAATGATTAATAATAATCATGACAAAATCGTTTTATTTTGGTATCACTTATGAACATTATATAGAAAATCGTGAAAAACTCGTAATTTTTCTTAACAACTTATAAACTTTAGTATTTTTAATATTTAGTATATATATTAAAGAATGTCATATCCAAAATTTAAGGCTGTAGTACAAACGGTACGTCCTGAAGAGCTCATTGATAATGACAAATAATAATAATGACACAATCGTTTAATTATGGACATATATTGAAAATCTTGAAAAACTCGTAATTTTTCTTAACAACTTATAAATTTTAGTATTTTTTATATTTAGTATACATATTAAAGAATGTCATATCCAAATTTGAAAGCTGTAATACAAACGGTACGTCCTGAAGAGCTCATTGATAATGATTAATAATAATCATGACAAAATCGTTTTATTTTGGTATCACTTATGAACATTATATAGAAAATCGTGAAAAACTCGTAATTTTTCTTAACAACTTATAAACTTTAAGTATTTAGTATTTTTAATATTTAGTATATATATTAAAGAATGTCATATCCAAAATTTAAGGATGTAGTACAAACGGTACGTCCTGAAGAGCTCATCGATAACGGCAAATAATAATAATGACACAATCGTTTAATTATGGACAATATATAGAAAATCTTGAAAAACTCGTAATTTTTCCTGGAAACTTATAAACTTTAGTATTTTTAATATTTAATGTATATATTAAAAAATGTCATCCAAAATTTAAGGCTGTAGTACAAACGGTGCGTCCTGAAGAGCTCGTTGATAATGCAAAACCATAATAATGCGCTGTATTTTGCTCAAATTTATTTTTATATTATTTTAAACATTAAATCGCCTATATTTTTTAAAGTATTATCATTCAAATTGCAATTTTTATCAATCCATTAAATTTATTTAATTCATTTGCAACTTTGTATAACATCCAAAAAGATTAGAGGTGAACATTCTTAACCTTTAGCTAAAATCCGGTTCGTGCAAAAAAATGTGCAATTGCATTTTTATCTCGTTTGATAAAAATTATCGAATGTCATTTCCAAATTATCAAAATTTGGAAATTACATAATAACATACTAATTACATTTGTATTAAAATTTAATTTGTACTAATTAGATAAATATAATTGGACGTTTTAGAGTTTTCACAGATTTAGTAATTAGAACGAAAATTAAGTTATGTTTTAATAGATTTGAATAAGTTTTTCATTTTGACTCCCAGTTTTTTAAAAATTATTTTAAAAAAATGGTTGGTTTTTTGATAATTTAAAAAATACTTACAGGTATTTTGTTAGGATATTTCGTCCTTATCAGATAAGCTTCATCCTTTCTGGTTTCTGAAATAGAAATTAATATAAATTAATATTCGTACTGGAATTAGAAAAATGTTTTTTTATGAATTCTATTTTAACTTTTTTTGTGAATGTTATAAACTTTAAAAAAATCGCAAATATATAAATAATTCTCTCAATATTCAAGTTTTTTTTTTCAAAAAATTTCTAATTTTGGTATTTTGATTTTATATATTAAGTTTGTTCAAAAACTTATTTATAAAGTATTTGAATTTTTGTCAATTTTTTTTTAACCCTGTTGAAATTTAATTTAAACTTACAAAAAAATTACTTTTAAAATTTAATATATATTACAAATATATATTGATTTTTGGAAAAAATATTAAATTTTAACTTATTTGTAATTTACCGAAACTTTACAAATAAAAATATTATAATTAATAATAATCTTACCAATTTTTTTGAATTAGAAAGTACTGGAATTAGAAAATATGTTCTTCTATTTTAACATTTTTGAGAATAATAATAATAAACTTAAAAAAAATCGCAAATATATAAATAATTCTCTCAATATTCAAGTTTTTTTTTCAAAAAATCTCTAATTTTGGTATTTTAATTTTATATATTCAGTTTTTTCAAGCAGAATTTTTTTCAATTTTTTTAACCCCGTTGAAATTTTATTTAAACTGATAAAAAATTACTAATAAATTTAAATATATTACAAATATATATTGATTTTTGGAAAAAATATGAAATTTTATCTTATTTGTAAATTACAGAAGTTTTGCAAATGAAAATATTATAATTTATAATAATTTTACCAATTTTTTTTAATTAGAAAGTACTGGAATTAGAAAATATGTTTTTCTATTTTAACTTTTTTGTGAATTTTATATAAACTTAAAAAAAAATCACAAATATATAAATTATTTTACTAATATTCAAGTTTTTTTTTTAAATATCTCTAATTTTGGTATTTTAATTTTATATATAAACTTTGTTCAAAAATTATTTATAAATTATTTGAATTTTTCAAGTTTTTTTTAACTCTGTTGAAATTTTATTCAAACTTATAGAAAATTACTTTTATAATTAAATATATTACAAATATATTGATTTTTGGAAAAAATTGAAATAAATATTAAACTTTAACTTATTTGTAAAATACAGAAATTTTGCAAATGAAAATATTATAATTTATAATAATTTTACCAATTTTTTTGATTTAGAAAGTACTGGAATTAGAAAATATGTTTTTCTATTTTAACTTTTTTGTGAATGTTATAAACTTAAAAAAAGTCACAAATATATAAATAATTTTACCATATTCAAGTTTTTTCGAAAAATCTCTAATTTTGATATTTTGATTTTATGTATTGAGTTTGTTCGAAAACTTATTTATAAATTATTTAAATTTTTCGAGTTTTTTTTAACTCTGTTGTAATTTTATTTAAACTTATAAATAAAATATACAAACTTCTAAAAAATTACTAATAAAATTAAATATATTACAAATATTTATTTCATTTTTTTCCAAAAATCAATATATATTAAATTTTAACTTATTAGTCAATTACAAAAACTTTGCAAATAAAAATATTATAATTTATAATAATTTTACCAATTTTTTTAATTAGAAAGTACTGGAATTAAAAAATATGTTTTTCTATTTTAACTTTTTTGTGAATGTTATATAAACTTAAAAAAATCACAAATATATAAATAACTTTACCAATTTTCAAGATTTTTCAAAAAATCTCTAATTTTGGTATTTTAATTTTTATACTAAGTTCGTTCAAAAACTTATTTATAAATTATTTGAATTGTCCAAGTTTGTTTTAATTCTGTTGAAATTTTATTTAAACTTATAAATAAAATATGCAAACTTCTAAAAAGTTACTAATAAAATTTAATATATATTACAAATATTTATTTCAATTTTTTTTCAAAAGCCAATATATATTAAATTTTAACTTATTTGTCAATTACAGAAACTTTGCAAATAAAAATATTATAATTTATAAGTTTTTTTTAACTCTGTTGAAATTTTATACATAAAATATACAAACTTATGAAAAATTACTAATAACATTAAATATATTACAAACGTTTAATTCAATTTTTTCCAAAAATCAATATATATTAAATTTTAACTTATTTGTCAATAGAAACTTTGCAAATAAAAATATTATAATTTATGATAATTGTATCATTTTTTTTGATTTTGTAAAGAAAGAATTTAGTTAAGTTTTACAATAACTTATGAAATTTTAAGTGGCTAGTATTTTTAAGTTCAATAAATTTGTATAAAAATATACAAAATTCCTAATAATTTTTTTTTAAAAAATACTTTCATACCTTTTATAAATTTATAAATCAGTTTCGGAATCATTTTGCACACTTTTTGTATAAATTATATATTATTATATATCCAAAATCACTCAAATTTTACACTTTTCACCAATTAAAATAAAATCTCTTATTCAACACTTCATCAACCAGCACTTTGAACTCCATGAATATTTTTTTCCTATCATTGTACTTTGTTAATATTAAATTGTACATTAAATTTAAATTTAATGCAAATATTTTTAACATCTCTTATCGTACAAATTAATATTTACGAACTAAATAAATTATTTGGTTAAATAAATAAAGTTTAGTCTAAAATAAATAATTTTGAACTGATAATAATACGAATGTGATGTGATCGTTTGCACGTAGACACTTTGATAAAAGATTTTTGGGAATGATTTTGTACCTAAAAAGAAGGATTTTAAAGGTTGTTTATACCTGGAAAAAGGACTAGGGATTGATAACTGTATATTTGTGAAAATGTACTTATATATGGGTAAATAATTTTGGTATAAAATGCTGAAAACTTCGATGCAAAATGTGTAGAAAAATTTATGCATTTATTTATTGTATCTGTTGTAACTTTTAAACGGTTTGTGTGAAATACATGCAATATTCTACAAATTCATACAAAATTTAATTATGAACAATATTGTCTAATATTATAATGCTCTACAGCAACTTGGTATACTTAAAAATTTCGTTTAAAAATAGATCTGAGCGCATAGATATACTGAAAATGGCGGATTACGTAAGTAAGGAGTTACTACACTTGATCAGACTAAATACGTTATTTTAAAGTATACTGAGTTGTTGTAGGTCATTATAATATAAGACAACATTATAGACAATATTATTACGTTAAAATTTGCAAAATATTTTATTCATTTTGGACAAACCGTTTAAAAGTTACAAGACATAATGCATAAACATTTGGTTCACCCGTATTACATTGTGTGTTTTCAATTGTCATTTTGAAGTATACCGAGTTGCTGCAAGTCATTTCAATATTAGACAACATTATAAACAATTTAATTTTGTATAAATTTGCAAAATATTTTATTCATTTTGGACAAACCGTTTAAAAGTTACAAGACAAAATGCATAAACATTTGGTTCACCCGTATGAATTAAATCTATTACATTGTGTGTTTTCAATTGTCATTTTAAAGTATACCGAGTTGCTGTAGGTCATTGCAATATTAGACAAGATTTTGAACAATTTAATTTTGTATGAATTTGTAGAATATTTTATTCATTTTGAACAAACCGTTTAAAAGTTACAAGACATAATGCATAAACATTTGGTTCACCCATATGAATTAGATCTATTACATTGTGTGTTTTCAATTGTCATTTTAAAGTATACCGAGTTGTTGTAGGTCATTGCAATATTAGACAACATTATAGAGAATATTATTATGTTCAAATTTGCAAAATATTTTATTTATTTTGGTCAAACCGTTTAAAAGTTACAAGACATAATGCATAAACATTTGGTTCACCCATACGAATTAGATCTATTACATTGTGTTTTCAATTGTCATTTTAAAGTATACCGAGTTGCTGCAGGTCATTGCGATATTAGACAACATTATAGACAATATTATTTCGTTAAAATTTGCAAAATATTTTATTTATTTTGGACAAACCGTTTAAAAGTTACAAGAGATCTAATAAATGAATGCATAAACATTTAGTTCGCCTATATGAATTAGATCTATTACATTGTGTGTTTCCAATTGTCATTTTGAAGTATACCGAGTTGCTGTAGGTCATGGCAATATTAGACAACATTATAAACAATTAAATTTTGAATAAATTTGTAGAATATTTTATTTATTTTAAACGAACGGTTTAAAAGTTACAAGAGATACAATAAATAAATACACACGGCTCAGGTCATCCATCTTTGGTTACTGATGATGACACAAGCATAGTTCTGAAACGTCTGTCAGTTTTTTTTATATAAGTATAATATTCTATATTTCTATTCTAATTTTGTACAAATTCGCAAAATATTTGATTCAATTTAGTCAAACGGTTCAAAAATTACAAGAGATACAATAAATAAATTGCACAAGGTTTAGGTCATTCATATCTCGTTACTTATGATGGCACAAACCATAACTCCGAAACGTCTGTTAGTCTGTATATATAAGTATAATCTATATTTCTATTCTGATTTTGTACAAATTCGCAAAATATTTGATTCAATTTAGTCAAACGGTTCAAAAGTTACAAGAGATACAATAAACAAATTCACAAGGATCAGCTCACCCTTCTCTCTGAGTTACTGATGATGACACAAGCATAGTTCCGAAACGTTTGTTAGTCTGTATATATATAAGTATATAATATAATATTCTATATTTCTATTCCACTTACCGAATGATTTCTGGTGCTTAAATTTTCCGGGAACATTGCAATTCATGTCATGTTTGATGACCTGTTTTGTTTGGAATGGACGGCGCATCTCCATCGTGAACAGTTTTCCGATTTTCCAAATTTGGATTTGATAAATTTTTGGTTATCGAGATCTCTGAATGGTAGATCTCGATGGTAGACGTCGATTGGCGAAGACCAAGAGAAGGATCCAGGTGGTAAATGCCAAAACTAGAAAGGATTTAGATGGTCAATGTGAAAATCCGGAAGAAATCTGGTGGAAAATGTCAATTTTAGGATAATTATGGTGATGTGAGATTGACAGATTTTGGGTTGTCGAGATTTATAAATGGTAGATCTCGATGATAGACACCGATTGGCAAAGACCAAGAGAGGATCCAGGTGGTAAATGTCAAAACTAGAAAGGATTCAGGTGGTCAATGTTAAAACCAGGAAGAAATCTGGTGGAAAATGTCAATTTTAGGATAATTGTGATGTTGTAAGATTGACAGATTTTGAGTTATGAGATATCTAAATGGTAGATCTCGATGGTAGACGTTGATTGGCGAAGACCAAAGGAGAATCCAGGTGGTAAATATCAAAACTAGAAAGGATTCAGGTGGTAAATGTTAAAACCAGGAAGAAATCTGGTGGAAAATGTCAATTTTAGGATAATTATGGTGATGTGAGATTGACAGATTTTGAGCTATGAGATCTATAAATGGTAGATATTGATTATAGACCTTGTTTGGCGAAGACCAAGAGAGGATCCAGGTGGTAAATGCCAAAACTAGAAAGGATTCAGATGGTAAATGTTAAAACCAGGAAGAAATCTGGTGGAAAATGTCAATTTTAGGATAATTATGGTGATGTGAGATTGACAGATTTTGGGTTATGAGATCTCTAAATGGTAGATCTCGATGGTAGACGTCGATTGGCGAAGACCAAGAGAGGATCCAGGTGGTAAATGCCAAAACTAGAAAGGATTCAGGTGGTAAATGTTAAAACCAGGAAGAAATCTGGTGGAAAATGTCAATTTTAGGATAATTATGGTGATGTGAGATCGACAGATTTTTAGTTGTCGAGATTTCTGGATTGTATATCTCGATGATAGACGTCGATTTGTAAAGAACTAGGAAGAGCAAATATCAAATTCAGGAAGGATTTAGTTGGTAATTATCCGAATAAGGAAAGAATTTGATGATGAATGTCCAATCTAAACCAACTATGGTTATGTAGATTTGTTAAATTGTAAATTATTTCGATCTCTAAATATTGAATTTACATAGACGACTAAAAATAAGTAGGATGATGAGGATGGAATGTCAACTTAAGAAAGGATCTTTGTGGTAAATGGTGAAACAAAGAAGAAATCTAGTGGAGAATGTTAGTTTTAGGACAACTGCCAACGGTATATTTGGTAGATTTTCAATGATTGAGAATCCTAAATGACACTTTTCGATTATAGACGTTGATTGGTGAAAAACAAGTAGGATGTAAAGGTGGAATTCCAACTTAAAGTAGGATCTTAATGGTAGATGTCAAATCCAGGAAGAAATTTGATGATGGCAAATGTCAAATGTAGAACAATTCTGGTGATTTTCTTTTTTAGAAGAATCAAATCAAAAGACAACTGTCATTTGGTGGACCTCTAAGATCTTACAGAGAGTGCATCAAAGAAAATTCTGGTAATTTTTGATGGTATTTGCCAAATCTTGGGCAATACTAGATTTAGTTCTGGCAAGTATCAAATCAAGACAATTGTTATTTGATACTGATGAATATTATACTAAGGATGAAAAATATAAAATTAAGATGGAAATTATGTGATTAAACGATTAAAAATGCCAAATCTGGGGCAAATGTGGTGATGCAATTGATCAAATCAAAAGCCAATCGTCAATTGCTGTCCAGAAATAATATATTAATGATGAAAAATAGCAAATATAGCCGATTTGATGATGAAATCTAGTCGATTTAGTTGATGGCAAGTGCCAAATCAAATGTCAATTGTCATTTGGTGTCAATGAATAATATATTATGATAAAAATACCAAATCTAGAAGATTTGATGATGGTAAATATCAAATCCAAATTAAATCTATCGATTTTGTTGATGGCAAGTGCCAAATCAAAGGACAATTGTCATTTGATGTTTATTCATATCAAGATCAAGGCTTAATCTGGTGAATCGATAATCTAATCAATGTAAAAACGTCAGTTGGTGACAGAAACAATGAAACTAGTGGTGTATGGCATCGTGCCTTAAGGCAAATTGCTGGATCTTCCCGTACCGTAATGAAATATTCGAGAAATTTTAAACGTTTTCAAATATATTATTACAAATAGTGTAACTTTCATTATTTTTGCTATCTTGTTATATCTGAGCAAATCAAATGTAAATCATAAATCAATTCATCTACAGAATAGAACTCATTTCGAATTCAATTTAAAAAAAAATAGTTGCCTATTTTGCACAAAATTGAAAAAGTACTCCCGTATAGTCACAGTCTAAACGCATTTGCAAATAATTCTGTGCGACATTTTCACTTATACTGTGCATAGCTTGGCGGCATTTTCACGTTTTTCAATAGTTTTTCACAAAATTGGAAAAGTGCTTCAGTCACATAAACAGTCTAAACGCACTTGGGTAAACATTTGTACCAGAGTGGCGCTTAGACCGTGCTTAGGCTGGGTCATTTTTTGAATTTTTAATCCAACAAAAATATTTTATGGAAAATAGAAAAAGATGTAATAATTTTTTATCCTCAAAAGCAATTGTTTTGTCAATACAAGCAGAAAGTTTTTTAGATCATTCAAATCGGACGCTTAGTTCACTCAAAAACTGCCATTTTTGCACATTTAGCTTTGTATCTTCGAAATGGCGCGACTTGCCTTCGTCAAAAACTAATCAGTACATCTCCCTATCAATAGGGATCGAAAACGTGGACGAAAAAATGCGGACATACAAAACACACACACACACATCCATTTGGTTTCTGAGGTATGCCAGTAAAATGTTCAGAAACCTTCAAAACGTCGAGAAATGCAAAAATTTTTATTCACGATTTTCGGCTCATTACTATAACTAGTAAACATACGGGAAGTTAAATAAATGAAAATTTGGTGATTTGGTAAAATGAAATTTAAATGCCAAATGAAATGAAATCTTGGTGAATTGCTTTCTAATTAATTGAAAAAATAAAAAATTAAGAAGAATCTTGTGGTTTGATAATCTGATCAATGAAAAAATACTAGTTTCTCATGGAATTAGCAAAGTTAAAGGAATATTTGATGATTTAGTTATGGAAATCCTAAATTAATCTGAAGAATTAGTGATGATTAGGAATTAATTAACGGAAATATTAATTAGGGAAAATAGTTTTAGCAAACTCCAAAATAAGAAGTCGTGTGAGTTAACAATCTTGGAATTGGGATGATGGAAATTTATGGATAATATGGTATGTTAAATATTTAAATAGGATATTTATAGTGGATCTTAATAAGAAATATCAAATTAAGAAAAAATTTGGTGCTTCGCTACGTTAAATAATGAATCAGGAATAAGTTGGCAGCTTTGATAACTAACGTTTTTCAATTTGATAACACTTTTATCATTTCTTGGACAACTAAACGTTTCTTCTTTTAGGTGATTGGTTTTTGGACAATTAAACTGTTTTTTTTTGTTTGAAAATCAAAAGTTTTTATTTCTGGTGTTTGTTTTGACCAGATCCAAGTAATAGTTTCGCGCTAAGTTTTGTATATTTTATCAAACATCTACTATTTTTGCACAAATTTTTACCAGGTGTATAAGCCAATACACACCTTGAACCGATTTTATTTATCAACGATTTTATTTATCAACTCACTTCTATTTTATCGACTTCCTTAACTTGCACGATTGTGCAAAATATTTGCACAATTGTAACAATTTTCTTATTTATTTATTTATATTATTGTTTTGATTTTGTATTTATATTACGATATGCACTCCGAAAGTCAAATGAGTGCGAAAACAAATCCGTATTCCCTTATAAACATGGTGACAGATGATGATATGGTCTGTGTCAACATTTTCGAATCTTTTGAATACATTCAAAGAGATTAAGATGTTAGTGAGAGAGCTGGAAGGACGAGTAAATATATTAAAATTAAATAAATGTTAAATCTACGACAACTGTGGTAGATAATGATATTTTGGAATTGATTCAAGGATGTTTTGAAGGCGACAATCTTTCTGAATCTATATGAAGCTGTAAGGAAGTGTGTGTTTTGCATGTCCGCATTTTTTCGTCCACGTTTTCGGGCGCACGGATCAACCGATTTGAATGGTTCAAAAAACATTCGATTCCTATTGATAGGGAGATGTGCTGATTAGTTTTTGGCAAAGGCAGGTCCAGCAGTTACGGAGATACGGAGCAAAGAGTGAAGAAAATACAAATCGAGTTTTTGAGAGAACGTAGCATCCGATTTGAATGATCTAAAAAACATTCAGTTTGTAATGATTTAGAGAAGAGGTGCTTAGATTTTGGCAAAGGCAGGTCCCGCCATTTCGAAGATACAGAGGTAAATGTGCAATAAATGGCAGTTTTTGAGTGAACTAAGCGTCCGTCTTGAATGATCTAAAAAACTTTTTGCTTGTATTGACAAAACAATTGCTTTTGAGGATAAAAAAATATTACATCTTTTCTTATTTTCCATAAAATATTTTTATAATTTTGGATTAAAAATTCAAAAAATTACCCAGGCTAAGCACAGTCTAAGCGCCTCTCTGGTACAAATGTTTACCCAGGTGGGTTTAGACTGTTTTGCACTGGAGCACTTTTTCAATTTTGCGAGAAAACTATTGAAAAATGTGAAAATGCCGTCAAGCTAAGCACAGTATAAGTGAAAATGTCGCACAGAATTATTTGCAAATGCGTTTAGACTGTGACTATGCGGGAGCACTTTTTCAATTTTGTGTAAATTAGGCAACTATTTTTTTTGAAATTGAATTCGAAATGAAATGACGATTGTTAATGTTCGAGGGATAAATTGATTTATGATTTACTCAGATATAACAAGATAGCAAAAATAATGAAAGTTACAGTATTTGTAATAATATATTTGAAAACGTTTAAAATTTTTCGAATATTTTATTACGGTACGGGAAGTTCCAGCAATTTACGTTAAGGCACGATGGCATACACCTCTAGTTTTTATGAAGGATGCTCT